CACACACACACACACACACACACACATCACCACCACCCTTAAGACAAGGACACAGACAGCATTTATATTGTATAAAGTTAAACCTTTATTTTATGGGAATACACTGTACATTAAACTTCATTTTGTTCAGCTCCACAAGAAAGATCTCATTTGAAAGTAGTTGGCTTTAATAAATGAAAAAAAAAAGAGTGTACAATAATGTGGACTTTAAACGATACATTAGAAATGACAGGTTACACATGACTGTGACTTCAATATTTTGTCAAACGCTGACAACTTTGCTCTTACTATCATTATAATCTTGTAACAGACACCTTAAAACGAAGCTCTGGTAGTAAACATAAAGTCACATGCAAAAGGATGTAGCATCTCAATGAGGAACCATTTGGCACTTTTTTGTTTTATAGGAAGACACTTAATCTGACTAATTTATCTGCTATTTTTTTTACAGGTGTGTTTATGTCCACACAACGCTATACTGTAATGCATATACATTAGTACCAATAATAGGGTAATGTAAAAAGTAAAGATGGGTGGGATCGCTTCTTCATCATCTACGAGTTACATTCAATCAGTCGGTTTCTCATCTACTTGCCCTTTTCTTTTTTTTTGTCAAGAACTGATGAAAATGCATGTGGAGTTTTTGTCTAACATTGATACGGTAGTGGTGCTAGCTGCTGTAAAGAATCACAGAGAAACAAACCGGCCTGTTGAGCCTGATCATATTTTTTCCCCTCGAGGACCAGTCAGAGCGTAACATCATCAACTACAATATTGAATAATTTGCACAGGAGGAGCATTCGACTCAAGCTAATGCAGCGGCTAACATGTTTCATTGATGGTTTTGCCAAAAAAGACAGCTCATGCAATTCACTGATCAACATTATGTACGCCGTAAAAGCTTGCATAACGAACAGAGTGGTGGAAAAACAAAGCCAGTCTCTAAGCACAGCTGCAAAGCTAAGCCAAGTCCACCTCCCTCTCTATTCCCACATACTTGAGGGCGTCGGCTTGGCTGTATCTGTGGGAGGAAACGTTGGGTGAAAAAGTTAGTATCGACAAATATCTAGAAACCTGTAGTAAAGTAGGTCACAATGTGCAGAGGCCTTGTTTGTCTTCATTCTCAACTTTACTTGTAAGCTGACGGAGAGTCACAAAAAGGCCCGTGACTCTACCTGTAGTCAAAGAAGAGCTCTTCTCCTTGCAGGATTGCTCGTTTGGCAAATATTCCAATACGGTGATCTCCGTTAACCATCACAACTGAAAGAGCAATAAACGAATAAAAGAAATATCAGTCAACTGTTAGAAAACTCTGAACTCGCTCAGCGAATGAAACTGACTCACCTTTAGCGTAGCAGTTGGGATTAACCGAATGATTTGCAAAACGAATTTTGTTCCCCTTTCGAGTAGCATCTACCACAAAGTCTACAAAGACAAATTCAGGATTTGTAACATACTGTATTTACGTTTGGCTCATAACGCAGCAATGAATCGACACATTTGAAAAGAAAAAACAAAACTTGCCGTTATTCAAGTTGAAAAGAAAACTCGACATGTATTTGTCATAGATCCTTCCACGTCGGTCTGCCTCGTCTTGGGAGATCAGCTGCTCGTAAACAAGAAAGYGAGAATTCTGTAAGCGTGTAATAAAAGCCTCTGGATGACACGTTTGAAATAAAATCCGGCTAAAATGCATGGACGTGCCTCTCCGCAGTATTCCGAGATGAACTCATTCTTCTGAACAGGCTCTTTGATGAACGTTCCCCACCCAGCAATGTCTGATGGAGCCAGTAATAAGTGCTGAAAGAGAACCCAGATGTAAACMATCACATGGCACCAACTTTCACAACGTCAGGATATTAAAGTAAAAAACATTTTCAGAACCGAACCTTCTTTAGGCCCCTCTGAATGCTGCAGTTCTTACAGGACACCACTTTGCTGTCCCAGTGGTCAGCGGCTCCGCAGGTCATGCAGAGATCTGGGTCACATTCTCTCACAGCCAGGTAGCAGGGACACTGCTTGGTGTTGCACTGGGTCTTACATCGGCAGCCCGGGAACCGGTTCTGGCCTGGACAAGGTTCAGACACGAGTGAGACAGCTGACAACATTTACTGTGGTGTAATAAAAATATACAGTGCTGTAAAAAAGAATTCACCCCCTTACAGTTTAAGTCTGGTAATATCAGACAAAACTTGACTAAATAAAGATGCAGTTTTTAAATAATTATTCAAATTAAAGGGGGATATTATGCAAAATTTACTTTTTTGAGCTTTGTATGATGTTATAATATAAATCAAGGGGCTGATTTTTACCAGGCTACGATGTAAAGTCATATTTACTTTTGATGTACAGCATTTTCATTACAACTGAAGGTAACATAGTTCCTTGATTGTGATATAGAATTTAATTTATTAAGGAAAAATAATTATTCAAACTAACCCATAAAGCTAATACCTGTGTACTACTCCTGACAGTAATACCTGCAATCATGCTGTTTTTGACTGCCATTTTTATTTTAGTCTTAGTCTTTTGAACAAAAATACTTCTTAGTTTTAGTCAGTTTTAGTCATTTCTATATTTAATGGTTTTAGTCGAGTTATAGTCGACGAAAGCTTAAAAAATTGTTTAGTTTTAATCTTGAATAAGACAACATATTAGTCTTTACGAATTAATTTGAG